AGCAAAATGTTTTCCAATTATGTCAAAATTCATCTCACCTCATTTATTATCATTGCTTACACATAAAGGAATATTCCCATATCAGTGGTTAACTAGTAAAAACAAATTCAAAGAAATGCAACCACCTCCTCGAAAAGATTTTAATAGTAACTTGGATAGAGTAAATTATTGTGAGCAAGGATGTGAAAGCAAAGAATGTGAACATGAGAAAATTTACACAATAACTCAAAAGGACTACGATTTTGCTCATACAGTTTGGAAAGAAACTGCTTGTAAAACCTTTAGTGATTATTATGATATTTACCTCAAAACGGATGTTCTTATATTAGCAGATGCATTCGAGGCATTTCAAAAAGCATCTTATTCAGCATTCAAATTAGATTCAGCAAATTATTTAACCACACCAGGTCTTGTATGAGATGCATGTATGAAGGTAACAAAGGTAAAATTAGAATTATTTAATGAGCATCAAGGAGATATGCATGACTTCTTTATTGCAATGAAAAGAGAAGGAATATCCTTAGCTAGAAGACGTATAGCTAGAGCAAATATTCCTGGATTAGAAGGGTATGATAGAAAAAAAACAAAAAAATGGCTGTTATATTTAGATGCTAATAATCTTTATGGCTGGGCAATGTCTCAATATTTACCAACTGGAGGATTTAAATGGCTATCAACAATATCTTTGGAAGCATCCCACCCTTTAGTGCAGAAAATTTTAAAAATAAAAGAAAATTCAAATCGAGAATGTTGTTTGGAAGTTAAGTTATCAATTCCAAAAGAATTACATCCCAAATTTCGAGACTATCCAATGTGTCCAGAATGAAAGAATGTACCATATGATTGGTATAGTTTAAAACAAAAAGAATGATCAGGTAAACAATGTTCAGATACAGAAAAACTTATACTAACTCTTCATGATAAGGACCATTATGTTATTCATTATAGAAATCTACAACAATGTATAAAGGAAGAATATGTTCTTGAAAAAGTATATCGAATTTTAGGTTTTGAACAATCATCATGGTTGGAACCATACATTGCAATGAATACTCAATGATGTGCAAAAGCAAAGAATGCCTTTGAAAAAAATTTCTGGAAATTAATGAATAACTCAGTATTTGGAAAAACTATGGAAGATGTAAGAAAACGAGTGAATATAGATTTAGTTAGACAGGTAGATGAAGAACAGAGGTTACATAGATTAATATCAGATCCGGCATTTGTTAGTAGGAAAATTTTCTATGGAGCAAATTTGGTAACAGTACATCGAAGACAAACCAATGTAAAACTAAATAAGCCAGAATATGTTGGAGTATGTATTCTTGATCTTTCTAAATACTTTATGTATGACTTCTGGTATGGACATCTCAAAAAGAAGTATGGTGATCGAGTAAAACTTTTATACACAGATACAGATTCTTTAATCATAGAAATTGAAACTGAAAATATTTATCAAGACATGATCGATGATTGTGATTTATTTGATTTTAGTGACTATCCAGAAGATCATTGGATAGTAAAAAATCTTCTAGAAGATCAGTAGATAATCAATGAAGGTAAATGTGTCTTAAAAAATACAAAAGTTATAGGTAAATGGAAAGATGAAAATGGAGGAGATCGTGCTATTGGCTATGCTGGAGTTCGCGCAAAATGCTATAGTGTTATATGTAAAAATTCATGAAAAAATATGATAAAAGCAAAGGGTCTTAAAAAAGCACTTATCAAAGAGAGCTCACTCATAAAATATTCGAAGACTGTGTTTTAGAGGGAAAAGAGAATCAACCATGAACCGCACAATTCCTCCAAAGTTACAGGCATCGAATATATAGAATAAAGCAAACAAAGAGGAGCATTAACCCATTAAATACGAAATTGTGGATAGCTCGTGATATGGAAACAACATATTTATATGGTGATTGTGAAATTCCGGAAGAATAAATATAGCTTTGCTTCATAATATTTTAATATATCTATCCACTATGTAACCACCTTTGACAATAATATATATATAATTTTTTACTTAAGTAATTATTAGCAAAAATAAAAATAAGATCGAGCGATCCCTTACCATACTAAATAATTCGTGAATAAACAGATCACCAAATCCGAAATGAGATTTCATAAAATCTGCAAATTGGTTTGTCAATACGGAAATATATTATAAAACAGAATAAATGAATAATAAATTTCAAAGACTTATCTGGTTAAAGTTCGGGTAAATGTATTGATTTAGATATTATATCCGTTTATTTTTTAGCTATCAAATAATTCCAGGTAGTAAAAAAATAATATATAGTCAGGTAAGTATGAAATGATAAGAAAAATTTTCATCATTAACCAACTCATCGTAACCTATACTATGAGTAATGAACCACTTAGCGAAGGAGAACTTACCAAAAAATACCCCAAACGAGCAGAATTATTAAAAGCCTTAGGAATAAATATCTTAAAAGGTCATCCAAACTCTCTTGCAAGTAATATCACAATACTGGAGCTAGAGAATTGTTATGAATGTAATGAAGAAATTTTGTTAAATCCACCCAAAGCATTTACCACGCTCGTGTGTGGTCATATACTCCATCATGACTGTCTTGAAAAAAGTAATAGAGATAAGCAAAAAACTTGTCCCATTTGTTTTGTAAATAATGAAGGAACGATATCAGCTAAAGTTCAGGACATAGATATGTCAGAGGCAGTGGAAGATGAAGGTGAAGAAACCTTTAATCTAACGAGGGCAGTAAGTAAGTTATCTATATATGGTGGTAAAGCTATCCTACGAAGTGAAACAAAATCCATGGAACCTGATAAAATACAAGGTTTAATAAAAGAACTATCTATTCCAAGTGAGCTGATTGATGATAACAATAGAGGAAATAAGAGCAAAGAATCAAAACCAATAACTTTACTCCAGTTATACTATAATGCAAACTGAGCAGAAAAACGTGTAACCTGTGCCTACCAAGAAGAAATAAGATGCTGGTATCTGTTTGCTAAAAAATTTGAAGAAAGAGTTAAAGAAATAAAAAATGATAACAGTAGGTACAATGATCAACAAGCTAGAGGGTTAATATATGGCGAAGTCACAACCAATCTTCCGGGATTTACAAGAGATAGTTTGCGTAAAAAAACTGCAAAGGCTAGAAATATCTACAAGTTGTTTGGAGAAAGTTATGACCCCGATACCAAAAAAATAGTTAAGGAGATAGGAATTGAAAAAATTAAGAGAATTCGAACATATAGTACTGATTATATTTCAAAGCTCAATTCTACACAAATTTATAATATTATAAAGCATTTTAATTAGTGCAGATCACATCCTCCAAGTTGACAACAACGTGATATAAATATTTTTTATTAGTAAATCATATATAAGTATAATTACAGTATATAATTAAATTTATACGTAATAAAGTTTATACGTACTGTACATACCAATAAAATTGACAAAAATGCTTGTTAAATATAGGCATTCAACATGTACAGTAAGGTTTATGCAGGTGAGACAAGGCACAAACACAAGTGCCACGCATTACGGGTTTGTATAATAAAAAAATTTAGCCACGTATATATTATTTTTTAATACATATATGTATAATAATGAAAATTTCTAATATACATTCACGTAAAAACAAACAAAACTATATCGAAAAGTGGCATAGAAGCACGGGTGTAAGGTTTGTGATGAATGTAATTATCATTCACATCTATATTGTAAGACATGCAAAAAAGTAGCAGAGGGAATATATAAGCGATGTGAATGTGAAAATTTTCTAAGGAAAGAAGCGAGAAGTGAAAGCTTCATTATTTCATAACGATTTCAAGTTCCTGATTCATCTATTATATCCTCGAATAATTCGTATAACCTTACTGTGACATCGATGTCACACCCCTTCAAGAATAAATAGTTTTTTTTTCATACGCTTGAATAACAATCAAAAAATTCGAATAAAAATTCTGCATGCAGGAACTGTAACCCGATTTTGTGATTTATTAAAATTTTGATTTAATTTATTTCTTTAAACTACGGAAAAAATACTAAAATATATTGCAATAACTATACAGTATTGTCATTATATCCATGTAACAATATGTGATCTGTTGTACTGTATGACTATAAACTATAAAAAGGAGAATGTATGACTCATTCCTACTAAAAAATTTTTTTTCGTTTCTAAACCTGTGCAACTTACAAGTAGTACCACTTTTCAAAAATAAATAACGATAATCATGTCTGAAGATATGCGTATACTTATTTGCGCATGTAACACAAACCTTTTATAGAATCGATCAACATTTCTCAATTGATTGGCTGATTAGT